CATTTGTTTCTAAAAAGTAAATGTGAAATAAAATTTATTTGTTATTTAATTTACTTGTGAAAATTTTTACTTTATATTTAAAATTCTAATTTAATTTAACTTAACTTAATTTTTTAATTTCCTAACATCTAGGCCGAATTAATTTTTTAAAATATGATTTTGAATTCCTTTCAACATTTAGACATGATTTTCAAAATCAATTTTTTTAAAAAAATTATTTTGTATAAATATTATTCTATTTTATTCCTAAAATTTCATTTTTCAAAATATATTTAAAAAGTGCAAAATTAGTTCAATTTATTTTTATTTAAGAATTTATATAGAATTTTTTTTATCAAGCTAATCATCCACAAATAGGTTTATTTTTAAGGGTATGTAACATCAAATAAATACATGCAATATCGCAATAAAATAAAATGAGAGCAGAAAATATATCAAAATAGTCTATTGGGTTTATATGATCCAAAATAAGAAGGAGCCTAATTTGGTGAATTTGGAACAGGCTTGAACAGAGTAAGTGGGCTAGATCTGATGAACAGACTTGATCTAGAAAAGATAAGTCATGGGTTGGGACTTATTAATTTTTTTTTTTGCTACATTATAAAGTCCCAAGACTTTTTTTTAAAACTTACTCTATTTTCTTTTTTTTCAAAAGTCCTTGATCTTTTTCAATAAACTAAAGCCTAGTTAGCAGCCAGTGAGTCGTTGCTACTAGAGGTATAAATAACATATTAGTACTCGCAAGCTACTCAGATTCGATTCGAAGAAAACTTGAATTCGATTTGATTATTATCGAGTCGAGCTCGAACTCAAGTAGTTCGATTTATCGATCGAACCGAATTCAAATATTCTTATATCCGACTCGAGTAACTCGCAAGCCTAATCGAGTTTTATATTTAAATATATTTTTATTATTTTAATTAATAAAATATTTCGAGTCCGAGTTCGAATATAAATAATTAAACTTTTATTGAGTATACGAATCGAACTTATTTTTACATATTAATCGAGCTTAATCGAACAAGCTCGAGTAACTTAAATTCGATCACGAATCGAACTCGAACTTAAAAAATAAAACTCAATCGAGTTCAAATCGAGTATCGAACCCTAAGTTATGAGTCGAACTCGAACTTCTCTCTGTATCGACTCTACTCGATTCGATTACACCCCTATTACTACTACATCGCAAATGACACCGCCTGACCATGGCTTCCTCTCTTCGTTCTTTTCATATATCCAACCTTTGTTTTTCCTAAAATAGCCCTAAAAAACTCCAATCTAAGCCAAGGCCAAAAATTCCTCCCCCACTGTCTAATCTATCCCAAACCAAACTATGTCTCCTTCCTCGTTTTCACCAGTCCAAATTGTCCAAAAAATGCTATTGTGAGTCAACTCGAATTGCCAGTATCGACCTCCCTTTTGTCGTTTCAACCCCGAGCCGAGCTCTTCCCTCTTTTCTTACAAACCAAGATTAGCCCTTCTCAAAACACCAAGAAACCAAGACGCGCCATATCTAAAACCTCCCCTGAATCGAGACCACTTTTTTTTCCTTTTTTTTTATTATTCTGGCAGTACTATTCACCGCTCCAGATGATATGTTTGACGATTTTTTTAGGGCTCTTTGGGATGTCATAGGTTTGGGTGGTCTGAAGGTAGATTTAGTTTAGTTATATTTGCTGGCAGCGGTGTGGTGACGAAAAGGTCTCGATTGGTCGACTTTCGACAGTGAGGTGATGGGTGGGTTGTTGGTGATTTGATGGTCTATGGTTAGTTCTAGGCAGAGTTAGGATGGGTGGTGGACTAGAAGGATACTATGGGCTGTTGGTGGTTGGATTAGGTGGTGGTGGTCCATGAGGGGCGTATGGTGGCCGTGGGCTTCTAGTAAGGATGGGTTTCGGTTGTGGTTTGGGGATGGTGAGGAAGGGCTGCTGGTTGTTTATGATGGTGGCTTGGTGTTTTATGCAATACTTGGATGGTAGGTGGTAGCTTAGGTTGGATTTCAGTTGAGGTGAAGGGGCTCAGTTGTTTTGTATAAGGACTGAAAATGGGTGGTGGTCGAAAATGTGAAGGTGAAGGGCCTTGCATAGTGTCTGCGTTGAGGGTTTGATGGAAAATTCTAGAAATAAAAAAATGGGAATAAGAGGCGTCCTTAGTGGTGTCGATTGGTGATCCCTTTTTCTAGTTCTTTAGCTTCTTTTTTTTATTAAGAAACAACCAGCAAAAGCTTACTATAAATTAGTGATTGGCTTTATGCTTAATTTTTTTGGGCATTAAGATGTTGATCAATTAGAAAGGGGTCAGGGGGTAAAAACGGAGGTGAAAATGGAAAAGCAGGAAATGATGCTTGTTATTGGGAGTGGGGAAAAGTGGTTGTCATGCCAAACCAGCTTTGGGCTTTCCTTTTTTTTGTTTTTATTTTTATTTTTGTAATTTATCAATTAATAAAAATAATTGAATTTAAAAAATATAAATATATATAAATAAATAAATGTGGGCCTTACAATTAAATATTAAATTTGTAAGTTTTAGGTTTTAAATTCAATCTTGGACTTTGAGCTTTTGAGCCCATATAACTTAATTTCAAATTAATCAAAATTAAATTGGATTGAGCTTGGCACATACAAAAACAACCCAAAAATGAACGATCTTGACCAAATTCAAATGAGTCTAATTAAAACACTTAAATTGACTTAAATTAAAATGTTTAAATCATGTGTGAAAATCAAACAAACTCAAATTGATTGGACAAAATAAGATGTTTACACACTTTTCTCAACAACTTTTGATCTAGCAATCATCAATGTTCATGAATGGGTGATTCTGAATGTACCTTAGTTTTTTTGCTCTTCACACTCCATCTTTTTTCAAAAGTTTTTATAAGTGAAATTATTCAATTACCTTCCTATAACTTTTCCGAATATCTATATAACTTTTTGGAAATTCAATTCCAAATAGAAAGTTTACAAACTTTTTAAGAAAAATTAAAAAAAAAAGGAGATTTTATTAAAAAATTTTATTAATTAATGTAATAAAAAATATTATTAAAAAATCATAAATTTTAAATTTAATAAAAAAAGTTGATTATACTATTATGATATTAGAGAAATAATAAAATCTTATGTGAATCTAATCAAATATTTTATCTCTTAATATTACGAAAGATGATGAAAAAACTACTAAATCTGATCTACATTTAAAAGTTGAAACTCTTATAAGCTATATAAGTAATACTATTGAATACTATATAATTTTGTCAAAATCTAATGTTAATTAGAGAAACTCATCGTGATAAATGGAATGAGAGACTTCTCCAAAGAGTTCAATTTAATTAAAGCTATTATAAAATTCAATAATTGATACCAAGAAAAACATATTTATTAAAAAATAAATGAATTTTAAATTTATAAAATAATTGTATTTACTATTTTATCCTTAGTTTATTTAGGACTTTAAAAGATTTTATTCATTCTCTAAGATCAAAATAGTAAAACTAATTTTTTTCTATTAATTTTAAAATTTATGATTTTTTTTCAATAATAATTTTTTATTACACCAATTAATAAAAATTTCCAATAAAATTTTCTTTTTAGTATTTTTTCTTAAGGTTTTAATACTCAAAAATCAATTTTCAAAAACTAAAATTTTTGAAAAAGATATCTCCATTACTTATTATAATGGGTTTTTTCAATTAATATATTATATTTTGACAAAATTATGTAGTATTCAGTAATATTACTTATACAACTTTAAAGAATTTCAACTTTCAAATGTTAATCAAATTTGTGGTTCTTTCGTTATCCCTTGTAAAATCAAGATATGAAATATTTAATTAAGGTCTTATAAGATTTTATTCTTTCTCTAAAGTTAAAATAGTAAAACCAACTTCTTTTTAGTAATTTTAAAATTTATTATTTTTTCAATTTTAATTTTTATTATATAAATTAATAAAAATCTTTAATAAAATTCCCTTTTTTTGTAATTTTTTAAAAACTTTTATAAACTTTCTTTAGGGAAATGAATTTTTGAAAAATTTTATAACTTTTCGAAATTTCAATAAGTTATAAATTTATTTCTTGTAAATTATAAAATTTATCGTATGCAAATACCTAAAAATTTGTGAAAAAGATAATTAAATAATTTTATTGACAAAAAAAAAAAAAGAGATATGAAGTGTAAAATGTGAGTTGCATTTCTAAGCCTTTGAAAAACAATATGCATTTAAAAGCTTCCTTCATGAATTTAGTCAAGAGGAGTTTTATTTGTACCTCAAGAATTACTCAATACACTCTAAAAAATTTATTACTAATTTAAGCTTTAATAAAATTATTTAAATATTTATTAATCAATTATTTTTTATTCTTCACACTTTATTCTTCTTTTTTCTTTTTCTCTTTCCTAGACTATCAGTAGCTTTTTTTTCTTTTTCTTTCTAGTAACAAGTCATATTATTATCAAAATTCACAATCAAATTTTGTAATATCTTATATATTATCAAAATGAAAAGTGAACATGAAAGAAACAATTATAATAATAAATATTTGGATATGACGATCGAGTAAATTGATTTTCGAAATGGATGTCTTAGAATCTTTAAAATTTTTTAAAAATATATTTTCAAAAACTCTTAAAAGCATTTGAACAATCATTTTTGAAAATTTTAACAACTTTCGAAAATTCATTTTTAAAAATAAAATTTCATTCAAATCGTATTAAAATATTTAAATCTTAAATTTTATGAAACTAAACATAAAATAAAATAAAAAATATAAAAAACAAATAATTTACCTCTAATTATATGTTTTGTAACTTCAAATTGACGAATTTTCTTTTGAATTTAGTTTCAAATTTTTAAGGTTTAAATTTGAAAAGAAAGAAAGAGGAGGTGCAGTGTGAGGGATAAGGCGTTCTGGTGTTTTGGTAAATTTTAGTTTGAGTGTGACGTATGGTGAATATCAAATGAGGCAATAAAAGTAATAAGGCGGGTTGAGTAAATGTTGGAGTTGAAGTAGCTTAGCTACCATTTTTAGTCAAAGCAAAACAATTCCTTCGTCCATATTATTACCCTTTTGCCCTCTTCGATTCACTCTTCGCTTGCATCTCCATCCGTCTCGCAGAAAAATTGGAAAAGAAAAGAAAAGAAAAAAGGAAAAACATTCCCCTTTGTGTCTCCCAAACCATGGCAAGAGGTTCCTCTCAGTCGCAGTCCTCCAGTTCCTCCACCACATCCCGTCCCGGCGTCATGGCCCCCCGTGGCTCAGCTGCAGCTGCAGCCGGTATGCGTCGCCGCAGGATTGTCGGAGGCTCCACCTCTGCCTCCGCCTCAGGCTCCGTCGGATCTGGTTCGGGAAGCAACATGCTCCGATTCTACACCGACGATGCTCCAGGCTTAAAGATCTCCCCTACCGTTGTCCTCGTCATGAGTCTTTGCTTCATAGGCTTCGTCACCGCTCTCCACGTTTTCGGCAAGCTCTACCGCGCCAAAGCCGGAGCTGGACCGTGAGTCGTGACCCGAACCCGATCTTTTTCTTGATCTCTGACCGGTTCTTGAATCAATAACTGGATTCTACTCTTTTTTCGTTTGACCGTTTTGGATTTAGCTGTGTAAATGATGTATTGCAAGCTTGTAATTATCTAGTGTTTTTAATGCGGTGAATTTTTCCAATGAATTTGTTTTTTTTTTTTTCTTGTACCCTTTCGTTTAAAGTCCCAGAAATGGGCTTGCCTCATCCTTTTACCACCTTTGATTGAAATTTGAAAAGTTGTACCTCTTCGGTCTTGTTGGAACCAGATTTTAGCAAACACATACACAGCTGTTTGGATGTTTGATAAATTAATAAGCTTTGTTTCTTGAATCATTTGCGCATGGAAAATGATTTACTTTGTTGTAGAATGGATTTAAAGATTATATTTATTTATAAGGAACGAAAGGGGTTTTTTCTCTTTTTTTTTTTTTAACTTCATCGGTTCTTACAGAAACTAAGACAGAACATGGCCTAACCCACCACCGGCTATCTTTTGCATTTTGGGTTATAGTAACGATGAGTTGAAATCTAGTAACCAAGCCCATCTTTGTGTTTGTTTCCTTGTTGGAAAAAAGCCAGAGAGGATGATGTTAAGTTTTTCAACTTGTTTAATACAAGAATAAAGAGTAAACAAATTCCCACACTGCTCGGTCTTTGAACATACATAATTTAATTTTTGAATTACATAACTTTTAATGATGTGATATTTATAAAAAAAATAGATTTTATTTTATTTTACATCATTTATTAATTTATTAATTAAAATACTGATAAGAAAAATGAACCATATATCATGATATTATTAATTGATCTTGCCTATAAATTTACCGTTAATATTATAACCAAAACAAATTTTATGTAGAGAATCCTCTCGGCTGTTAAAAATGAAATAAATCGCAAATGGAAGTTTAATAATGATAATCATTTCACTGCATCCCTCAACGTTTCATTTTACTTGTAAGAACTACAGTTTGAAACGATCGGTAGTCCGTACCTAAAAAAAATTAGGGTGAAAGTTATAATCGGCCAACCCAATTCCGCGGCGAACGAAAGTGAAAACAAATCCCTTGCCAAATAAAAAACAGAAGACTTGGGGGAGCGGTGTCCACGCTGTTGTTTCAGTTTCCAGCTTCCCTACCAATTTATCCGCTCCGCCCTTCATTTTCCAACCCCCTAAACTTAGAAGCAATACCCAAATACGAAGGCCATGGAAGCAGAATCAAACCGAGAAAAAAATTGGCTTTTTTTCTCCTTTCTCTATCATTCCAGTCCCTTTTGCCACTTTCTGAAACCGAAGTTGAAAAATGACGGTGATTGACATCCTCTTTCGAGTCGATGAAATCTGCAAGAAATATGAAAAATACGATCCCGAGAAGCAACGCGAACTCAATGCATTCTGCGACGATGCCTTCTCTCGCCTCTACGCTCTCATGGAGGCCGACATTGATAAGGCTCTCCATGTCCGTTTCCTTTTCCTCACCCCTTTGTTCTATTGGTCTCTTTCCAAGCGTTAATGTTTCTTTTTTTTTTTTTATGTTTTTGGAATAAATGCAGAAATCTGAGATGGTTTCGGTGGAGAAGAATAGAGCAGCGGCGGTGGCATTGAGCGCTGAGGTTCGTCGGATAAAGGCTCGATTGATAGAGGAATTGCCTAAGCTTCAAAAATTGGCCAAAAAGAAGGTCTAATTCTATTTTCTTACCCTTTTTTTGTAAGCGCCAAACAATGTTTAATTTTAGCCTTTTGCGTAATCAAAATTATCAAATAGCATTTGGATTTTCTGCTGCAATCCAAAGACAAAAACTTCGGGTATTTTAATTTGTTAAAATTTCATCTTTTGCTTTAATAATGATTTTTTAGTAAAAATTTATATATCAGGAGGCATGAATTAGAGAAAGATTACTGGAAAAAGAAAGTTAGGCTTTGATTTGCCTATGTTCAAAATTTTCAGCTTTGTCTTGATTGATTTGCAATCTCAAGAGGTTGACAGCGGACTCTTTCTATTGAAAATGGTATTGGTATCTAATTACAGGTCAAGGGAATTTCCAAAGAAGATCAAGAAACTCGTTTGGATCTGGTTCTTGCACTACCCGAAAGGATTAAAGCCATTCCAGATGGGTGTACTACTGCTGCATTCCAGACTGGTGGATGGGGAGCTTCATCATCTAACAAAAATATCAAATTTGACTCATCAGGTAATTGAGGGTAATGCTTCTTCCTCGAGTTACAGTTATCTTAAATGAATTTTTAAATTGATTATGGATTTTTACTTGCCAATCAAACCTTCAGAGGAGCGCTTAGATAGTGATTTTTTCCAACAAACTGAAGAGTCAAATCAATTTAGAGAAGAATATGAAATGAGAAAAATGAAACAGGCATGTAAGTTTTCTGATATTTTATCTTTTTGGCAATGCCTTTAATATCTATTCTGCAATCCAAAGTAGTCGCAGCTATCTATATGCACTATCATTTGATTATATTTAACATGCTTGCAGGATGAAGGTCTTGATATGATATCAGAAGGATTGGAAACACTGAAAAATATAGCTCTTGACATGAATGAGGTTTGGTATTATGTGTATAATTTTGGTTTGGTCATATGATATTATGAGCAACAGGAGATTAATTATTTGTTTCAATATGTTCAGGAAATAGATAGACAAGTTCCTCTGATGGACGAAATTGATTCAAAGGTGAGAATTGTGTTACTTTTCATGTTTCCTTAGTTTGGCCTTAGAATCAATTACTCAAACAACCATGGACAAGATTCATAAATGCATCACTTAATGTTAGTATGGTGATTTTACAGGTGGACAAGGCAACATCTGATATTAAAAGGACTAATGTTAAACTCAAGAAAACTATTACCGAGGTAGTTCATGCAAATGAGTGTTTCAATTGTCAAATTCTTCCCATATAATTTACCTGGATTCATTATACATTTTTTTTTCTAGAGAAGCCAAACGGTTCCTATAATTAGCATTTTTGCTTTTGTTGCAGATGAGATCCAGCCGAAATTTCTGCATTGACATTATTCTGCTGTGTGTTATTCTAGGAATTGCTTCCTACTTGTACAAGTAAGCTTCCTATCTTATTCTTTTTTCTTTCTGATCTTAAGATCATGTTTCAAGATGCAAATTTTAAATGCTTTTGCCACCAGCCCTCAACTTTACTTATTTCAGCACAAATAATTTTATTTTCTGCTTTTTGACCAAATATGAAACAGTTGAACCTGCTTACTATTTATTAGCTTCCATTATCAAATTATGAAGTTTGCAGTGCAAAACCATTAGCGAAGAAAGATGATTAAATATTAGCATCCATATTGTGAAATTGTATCCAGTTTTTTGAAGTTGAATGTAGTGAATAATGTGATAGGCAAGATGCCAAGACCATTTTCTGGGAACTGCATATATTAAAAAATTAACTTAAAAAATCTGGAGCTTGTCAGAACCCCTCATCTTTGCTTTCAACCTTTTTTATTTAGGGAACTAAATCCAATATCTCTCTTTATGTTGTATCAATTCAATTTTCAGTCTCCCATCAGCTCTTTTTAATTTCATCAATGTTACCTGCTATTATGAGATTAGTCAATTTAAAACAGTTTTAGTTTTTGAGGTAAAAGTTTTCCCTTTTATGCTTTTGCCAGTACTTCCTAGTTTAAATGGTCAGAAATACTATTTTCCCATCATGTGTACAGAATTGATAGCAATGTGCACTGAATCAATTGTACTGGATTTTGTGCTTGCTTCATTGTAGATCTACTTAATAATTCTAGAAGCTGATAAAACTGAGAATTGTATATATTAGTTGTTGATCATCTTTTAGTTTGCTGTGCTTTGTACTCAGAAAATTTTCTAATGAGACCTTTCGCTGTTGCAGTATACTTCAATGAATTGATTTTAGAGGCTTCTGCCACAGTTTCTTTGATCACAATGGTGTATGGTACAAAATTCTTCATCACTCGGGGGTTTTCATGTATTGATTTAGCATGCATTCTGTTATTCATGTATTGTACTGCCCTCTGGAAACTATTTGAATCAGATTCTTTTATTGACTGCTAAATTGTTTATGTTACTGTAACAGGACTTGATCTTTTAGTCCTTCAATAATATGTCATTGCTTTGTAGCATTGCTTGGTATACCAAAAAATGTATCTTTTTACATTTCAGTGTGTTTTACTTTCTAGGGGGCACTTTCTATTTGTAGCAATAATATTAGTCAATTTCACTGCAGTTTCAAGTCAGAAAGCTCAAAAATATACCACTACTAAATATATTCACCTTCACATCACAAAACAGCACATAATACATAGTCTGCTGATAGATTTACACATTGCCAGCAACCGATATGGTGAGCCCCTTCCATGTGCCTGTATCTACATTTTTTTTAGTACATAATCTGAAATTTAGGTTCCTGATGGCATCAATTCAGCGATGAATCAAGGCCTTTTTGAAGTGTTCATTACCTTAAGCATATATATGTGAAGACAAACTATTAAGTTCATGGAATTCAATAATGGAATCTGTTGGATGGACGTTGTAGATCCCGCGTTGAGATTGGTTTTGGCTGCAGTAGTTCAAATCCTTTTTGGGAAGCATCTTCATAGGCAGAAATTCCTCATTTGTTTCGTCATTGTTCGGCTTGTCAGATGGAATGAGATACTCTTGCCTATTTCCGAAACCAAGTTTTCTTTTCTGTGGGGTGAAACAAGTGCCCAAGGATGGAACTAACAAAGGCAAATTCACTTTGTCAGAACCTTCTTTGAATGTGGCAGTTGAATTCGTCTCGATAGGAGATAAATCATGTCCAGCAAGTATCAAAGCTAATACTTGGCAATCTTGGTTTAGACAATCTGTTATCATGTCGGTTCTACAGTGTGTAAATGTAGGTTGCATCTTCGCATTTGCCGGTGAGAACCTCATCAATTCTGTGCTGCAGCTGTCTTTAACTTCTAATGTGTTCATTGACATGTTGCCTTTTTTCCGAACCCGACATAGCACCCAATCATCCAACTGTAGAAACAAAATAAATTTTTTTCATGCATTTACTTGGATTAGCCTTTGCAAAATTGGTCTACATTATAGTTTGGAGATCTGAGATGGATGAACGTGAAATGGAAAACAGTTGAATCTGGCGTGTTTGGTTGGGGAAAAGTGGGGACGGTGGGGAGAAATACCCTGTCATCATCATGGTTCCAAACTCATATCTAGCCTAGGTCCCATTTCTCTCTACTATTGAATACCCTGATTCTTGAGAAATAGTTATACACGAAAGTGCCATATTTTATTTTTGATTGACCAGGCTAATTTTCTAAGTTCAATCATTTGGAGTCAGAGAAACCTCAAAAATTTGTTTGCCCTGATTTTAAAATGTTTTAGAGGATTGTGTCAAAAGTTTTATAATTGTTTTTTATAGTCGCAGTAAATTTATAATTTTGGAGGCAACTTTTGACATCTCTAGATAACTTTTCCCAGTATTAAGATCTAGAACTGAAGAATCAATTTCAAGAGGAATCTATTGCTCATACTTTTGAAATTTACACTAGTCACTAGCTATATATAAACTTCTCTATAAGCATGTTGGAAGTGAAGCACCTTAGAAGGAAGCAAACAAAGGAACACTATGGTTAGAATGTTCTGGCTTTGCCTGAAGAGAATATTGCTTTGAGTATCTCATCATAACCTGATCTCCCTATGTTCTTTTTTATAGATGATATGCAGATAGTTTGGCTCCCTAGATTATCAGAGATAAGTTTTAGATGGTTTACCTTCAGAATCTTTAACCCTCATGGAAATAAAGTTAAGAAAGAATTTTTAATGTACCTTCTAATCTATGCCATCTAGCTATGCTTTAGCATAAGCTATTTTCCAGTATGAAAATACTATATTCCAGTTTCTAAAAACTTGAATGTTTGGTAATTAGTGTCATGCAGATCATCAAGCCCACTTACTCTCATGGACCCTTTTAATCTTGAGGGCTTAATCATCCTGTCCAACAGTCTGTACTCGTTCATAATCCACTCTGTCTTAACTCCCTTGGGGGGTCTACCTATGTAAAAGACAAGTGCTTTCTTGACTCCAATGTTCTTTGTTCCAGAAGAAGTGAGTATAGGTTTATCGGTACCGGTAGCCTTCCAATAACCTGAAGCTGCTGCTCTGTTTGGTCTTTCTCCATTTGGGTACTTTCTGTCTCGTGGACTGAAGAAATACCATTCATCTTCTCCAAACAAAGCTTTCTCTGCAAAAATCAAGATTGTTGAATGGATGATAAAAAAAAAAAAAAAAGGTTAGTATTGTAACTTGATAATACGAGCTGATGGAAAGTGAATATATGATTATTAGGTAGTGCAGAAGACAGACTGGGTAGCTCCCATGGATTATATCTATACAGATCTATTTCAGCAATTACAAATGCTGGGAGTGGACGTGAAGTCACTTTGTTTTGTAAGTAATGAATAATGAGCTCCTCATCAGATGGATGGAACCTAAAACCCGGAGGAAAATGAAAATTTGAAGTGCCTTCTCTCTCCATTGAAGATAGTTTTTTCCTTGTTCTTCTTGTAGGCTTTCTACGAAGAGACCTAGGGAACGAAGAATCAATAGAATTGTATTTACGAAAGAGAGCAGTGTCAAAGGTTTTATATATGGGCAACTTAAGACAGATAGGGACATCATTTAAGATAATAAACAGGAAATAAACAATTAATTTTGATGGAGGTTTAAAGAAACGGTGAAACAACTTGTTTGGCTTTACCTTGTCCAGGCTTGAAAGTGATAACCGTTTACAAGCCTCTTGGAAGCAACATTGCTTTAGATCCAGTTTATCATTGTTGTTGAAAGTAACTTTTACGTTTAAAAGCTACTTATGATCCAACTTCAATGTTAAATATAAAAAAAAAAAAATGGCTTTTCAATCTAAAAGTTTAGTTTTTAAATTCAAACAAAAAAACTCCTCAAAATATACTTTTGGGGTGAAAAAGTATGTTTGGAGAAAAAAAAAATCATTCCTACATTTATAATACTTTATTATTTTATGTATATATTTTTATATATTTCAATTACTCACAACATTTTGTCACAATAATATCAAAAACTTAAGATTTCTAACATTAATTTTCTCAACTAGGCTTTTTCAACCGTAATAGTAATAGTAATGCTAAGCTAACTTTTGGTAGTCTCTTTGGGGTATCTCATCATAAATATACACTTCATAGAAGATTGCTTGTTTTGATTGCTTCTATTTATATTCTAAAGCTTTTATATTCCCATCATTTTTGTTTGATAGTCGTAGATGAGAAACCTGCAAAATATTATTTGCTTAAACAGATAATAAGGAGAAGGACCACTATTAGGGATTAGGTTATACCCTCTGCTTCTCGAAAAGAAAATTTCTCTTTCAGGTCAAAGTTGGAATTGATTTTGACAAATAACATTTTAACTGAAATGTTGAAACAGCCTAAGTTGGAAATATTATTGCTTCATTGATTTCCAGAGGTAGTGCTGGATTGAATGGACTTGCTTTTCAAATAATTTAGCAGAAAATTGGATGCAAGATCTGAAGGAAAGATGCTGTTCTTGTCTTCATTCCTTTCTTTAACATAGTTTTACACGAGCCATGGTCCATGAAAAAGTACAAGTGTCGTTGCTTTGTGGAAAAACATAACAAAGCCATACGAGTAGAACAAATCTCTGGTTTCTCGTTTGATCTTTGTGTCTTTTTCTCTATCTTTTGCTTTGAGTCTACGTAGTTAGACGTGTTTTATTCTTCCTAACATATCTCTTTTTGCCTGAGATTGAAATCTTCATTATAGAGCTTAATTCGAAATGCCCCTATTCGCATTGGAGTTTGAAAATGAGGCTGTTGAATTCCTTTTCGATGACAACAAATCGATGACACCTAGGTCTCATTTCTTTGTTAATGGAGACTACATGGTCATATGCATGAACTTTATCTGTTGTTAAGTCATATAAAAAAATTAACCTTGTTTGACTTGATTCAATTATGCCATTCTCTGTTGTTTCGAATCCTAGGTGGATACCTTGTTGTGTTTCGATCGGATCTGGATTTATGATTAAGAATTAAGCAATGATTGTAACTTAATTTGTCCAAATAGCCTTTCATGCTCCAATTGATCACAAGAGTACATACTATTTAACAAGTAGTGGAAAAATATCATAATTGAACATAGAGGCAATCATTTTTTGAAAATATAAATTGAATTTGATGGAACCACAAAAATCTAAAGCCTCAAGTTTGCAGTTTCTTCTATTCAATTTCGACTAGGATTGTGTTCGCTTTTCATTAAAGACTAAAGTAAATGAAAACCAAATAACAATAACAAAGCAAGCAAAAACATGTAAGAGAAGAGGAAAATGCAACTGAAATTAATGTTTAGTCAAAAATGGAAAAAGTATAACTGAAAATTAGATGGGGTAATTTTAAATAAATAATAGTGATACCTATGTTTAAAAAAAAAAAAAGCAATGCAATTTAAAATTTTAGTAAAAATTTTATATAAATTTAATAAAAGTAAAATAAAAAAATCAATTGTCGTAACAGTTTTAAGATCGTCAGACATAAAGAATTTTAAAATCGAGAAAAACGAGGAAAGTCGTTACTAATTTTTTTAGAGCGTGATTTATCACCTAAGAGTTTATATTTTTAATAAAACTATAAAAGCGATTTTAAAGTTTATCAAAAAGATAAATTTTAATCTACGAAAAATTAGGTTTGGCTCAAGAGTCGATTACGTGTGAGAAAAGATTAGCATCCTTACAATGCCCATAAATTGGTACCAACTAATCATGCATTATTTCGGTGTTGGATAAAATGATTTTAATTTAAAATTTGATACTAACTCCCTTCATTTAAAAAAATAAATTTGTGTTAAAACTCTTTATTTAGGAATATTAAGGAAATTTTTAAGTTAAAGAATTATCTTAAAATTCTTCAACATTTGGGCAGAATTTAAAGTAACTCTTTTCACTTGAGATTTAATGCAATATTCTTTAAAATAAAAATAACACTCTTTGTAGAAGATAATCATTGGTAACTCTACAACATTTAGGTAGAGTATCAAGAATTATTTCTTTCGAAATGTTATTTTTGTTTTATAATATCACAAATTTAAAATACATATTTCCTTTTTTGTAAAAACATTTTATATGATAAAGTAAATGATAGTATTATCGGGTAGCAAATAAAAATTAAAGACAGAGAAATGCAAAACAAATGCCAATAACAACATGATGATGCATGTATGCTAATGGATGTTGTGCAAGGTGATGAAATGCAATTTAAAATTGGATTCTTAAATATAATGAGACCACTTTGACTCTCTAATATCTAGGTAAAACTTAGGTGCGACTATTTATATTTAAGATCTCATTTTATTATTATACTTTTTTATTTATTAATTTTAATCCCATTGTTAAAGTGAATTAAAAGCTGGCAAGAAAAACTTAATGAAATAAAGTTTCTTAAATATCCCGTCGTCTAAGCAACATTCGAGAATAAATTATTTCAAGTGAGATTTTTGCACGTATTATTAGCAGTTTGGGATGGTTTTGGTTAAAACTTAGATTGAGGTTTTAAAGTTTGAATAATTTTTCGATAATGATTCGGGGTTGTTTGCCAAATTTAAGGTTTAGGTTAAATTTAGGGTCTTGGTCAATTTTTTAAGTTTTAGGATCTTGCTTTAGGGTTTTAAAATTAGGGTTTCAAGATTTTGGAGTTTAGAGGGTTTAGTTTTAGAGTTTAGAGGGTTTAGGGTTTTGATTTTAGGGTTTGGGTTTAGGATTTTAGTTTTAGGGTTTGGAGAGTTTTAGGGTTTTGATTTTAGAGTTTAATGTTTAGAGTTTTGATTTTCAAGTTTAAAGGGTTTAGGGTTTTAGTTTTAACGTTTGGAGGGCTTTAAGGTTTAAAGAAAACACTAACATCTCTAAAAATCTCTAACATCTAGGCAGATTTTGGAAGTAAGTTTGATTTTTATAATTTTCAAAAATTAATCATATTTTTTCATATGTTTTCCTTTTTTATAAAAATAATTATTAATAATATCTATTTATTTTTGTTACTATTTATTATTTATTATCTTTTTATACTTTTTTAAAATTCCCTAACATTTATATGAAATTGTTTTTAAAAGAATTACCTCAATCATTTTGGCAGGGAAAATTTTTTTTATCACTTTTTAGATTATTGTTTTTTTTATAGCATTTTTTGGTTATTATTCTACTTTTTTATTATTATTATTTTATTTTTATTATTTAAAAAAGAAGAATAAAAAATTTGAAATCATTTTTCATTATTATTATTATTATTATTATTATTACTTAATTATTGTTATTTTATAATTTTATAAGGTTTATTTTAGTTTTTCTTAATGAAATTTAAAAAGATCAAGATTTAGATTTATTGTTATTTACTAATATCATTAATATAAAAAAAAAAAACACTAAACATTTACTTTAACAAGAAAATTAAACATGTTTAACTAATAATAACAATTAAAAATAATATATATAAATAAATAAATCAAAAATTAAAAAATTTTTTTACTTGAACTAGATCAATCAGCATCAATTCAACTAGACAAGCAAAAAGCCAGTTTGATGAGCGATTCGGTTGAACTGACCGAAGGTTGGATGAAGCAGGTTATCGGATCAGGTTGTGTGAATCTCGAGTCTAGTCACGAGCACGCATGAATCCTCCCCTCATAAAACAACGTCGTTTTGCTTCTTTGTTTTTTACATAAAAGTAAAAAAAAAAAAATTAGTTTATTTTATCCTTTCTTCAAAAAAAAAATTTTTTTGACTCCAAAAAACCACTTTGGCCTATTAGAATTTGGTACCATACAATAGAGTCGACTACCACTTGAGATTGTGACTGATGGTCGTCAGTGATAAAAAAATGCCAAACTTTATCTAAAAACTCCTTTTGATCTTTTGAACTTAAATTTGCCCTTTTTTTTTGTAGGAAACAACCCCGATTAGCATAGATCTAAGTTTAAAGTTTCAGTGTTCTTTTTTTAAAATCTGAATTGATGATTTTTTTGTTTTTGCAAGTATCTCGATGTTGATGGTTCTTTCTTACGATGATGACCTTTTTTTTATTTATGTGCTATTTTTTTGTTTTTTTTTTTGTTTTTTGGATTTCTAATGGGTGGGGGTTTTGTGGTTTTTTGGACCAAAGCAGGGCAATAGAGGAGAGGTTATTGTTGGTTAGTGGTTAGGTCTCATACGCAGAGATCGGTGTGGAAGGCCTGGGTTGTTTGGTGCTGAGGCCTGGGCCTTTAGCTGGGTTCAAAGTCATGTTGTGGGGGCTGAGTATGGTGTCTTGGCTAAGGTGCTCAGAGTCTGGTGCTTTGGTTCTGGGTGCAAGTGTTGGTATATGCGCAAGAGAGGTTATACGTCCGAGAGCCCATAAAAAGGAGAAAGCTGGGTGCTTTATGGGGTTGGGCGCCTAAGATGGTGGGTAGAATAGGTGTTTGGCAAGGTATAGGTGCTTTGGTAGAGTAAGGCCAATGGCTC